AAAAAAGCAGAATAGATATACTTGCAGCCTTCAGAAATAAAAAGACTTTCATGCAATCATTATGGACAGTTGGTTTTTGGTAAACTACATTTTACCCTAATTTTATTTTTTTTTAATTACTAACATATTCGTCATACTTTAGTGTTCATGCTGATTTTTTTATACCTGGATTGACCTCCTTGAATAAACGTTTTTCACAGGCATGCCTGAGGCATTTAGCACACAGCCATCTTTGTCAGCCATCTTGGATTATTGATGTCATCAAGCTAAGAATAACTGGAATGCAAGAGAGTAGCCACTGTGACAATCCTGCTGACAGTCTACCGACACTTAGGGGCGGCTGACGTGAAACTGACAATTCGACACAGTGTTGAGATCCCGAAGCGCAAGTGTTTAAAAACACTGCATCGAAGCATGATCCGAAACACCCAGGTCACGTGACTAAAGTGTATTTAAACACCTGTGCTGTGTCCCAATCCGCTTACTATGCGTCGTAAGTATTATTTGAAAATAGAATTAATATGTACCATAGTACAAACCATAGTATGTTGAAAAGAGTGTGCCAGAAAATCCCGGAAGGTTTGCTATTTCCAGGTAAAAAAAATTGTGTAGAAGCGTCCCTACTCTAACCACGAATATTGCCCGAAATACATTGAGCATTGGACGTGAATTTGATTGGAACTTCAAACAGGGCCGGAGCAAGCTGAACTGCCGCTCTAGGCAAAGGACGGTCACGCCGCCCTCAACTCTAAAGTGAGGGGGGGCGGACGCCGCCCTCTTTATTTTGCTGCACTAGACACGGATATAACTGAGGGCACGGGTGGTGAGGGTAGTGTCGCGGACGCCGCCCTCTCTATTCTGCCGCCCCAGACGCGGATATAACGGAGGGCGCGGGTGGTGAGGTTAGTTTCGGGAACGCCGCTCTCTCTATTCTGCCGCCCTAGACGCGGATATAACTGAGGGTACGGGTGGTGAGGGTAGTGTCGGGGACGCCGCTCTCTCTATTCTGCCGCCCTAGACGCGGATATAACTGAGGGCACGGGTGGTGAGGGTAGTGTCGTGGACGCCGCCCTGTCTGTTCTGCCGCCCTAGACGCGGATATAACTGAGGGCGCGGGTGGTGAGGGTAGTGTCGGGGACGCCACTCTCTCTATTCTGCCGCCCCAGACGCGGATATAACTGAGACGCGGGTGGTGAGGGTAGTGTCGCGGACACCGCCCTCTCTATTCTGCCGCCCCAGACGCGGATATAACTGAGGGCGCGGGTGGTGAGGGTAGTTTCGGAAACGCCGCTCTCTCTATTCTGCTGCCCTAGACGCGGATATAACTGAGGGTGCGGGTGGTGAGGGTAGTGTCGGGGACGCCACTCTCTCTATTCTGCCGCCCCAGACGCGGATATAACTAAGGGCGCGGGTGGTGAGGGTAGTTTCGGGAATGCCGCCCTCTCTATTCTGCTGCCCTAGATGTGAATATAACTGAGGGCGCGGGTGGTGAGGGTAGTTTCGGGAACGCCGCTCTCTCTATTCTGCCGCCCTAGACGCGGATATAACTGAGGGCGCGGGTGGTGAGGGTAGTTTCGGGAACGGCGCTCTCTCTATTCTGCTGCCCTAGACGCGGATATAACTGAGGGCGCGGGTGGTGAGGGTAGTGTCGCGGACACCGCCCTCTCTATTCTGCCGCCCCAGACGCGGATATAACTGAGGGCGCGGGTGGTGAGGTTAGTGTCGGGGACGCCGCTCTCTCTATTCTGCCGCCCCAGACGCGGATATAACTGAGACGCGGGTGGTGAGGGTAGTGTCGCGGACACCGCCCTCTCTATTCTGCCGCCCCAGACGCGGATATAACTGAGGGCGCGGGTGGTGAGGGTAGTTTCGGAAACGCCGCTCTCTCTATTCTGCTGCCCTAGACGCGGATATAACTGAGGGTGCGGGTGGTGAGGGTAGTGTCGGGGACGCCACTCTCTCTATTCTGCCGCCCCAGACGCGGATATAACTAAGGGCGCGGGTGGTGAGGGTAGTTTCGGGAATGCCGCCCTCTCTATTCTGCTGCCCTAGATGTGAATATAACTGAGGGCGCGGGTGGTGAGGGTAGTTTCGGGAACGCCGCTCTCTCTATTCTGCCGCCCTAGACGCGGATATAACTGAGGGCGCGGGTGGTGAGGGTAGTTTCGGGAACGCCGCTCTCTCTATTCTGCTGCCCTAGACGCGGATATAACTGAGGGCGCGGGTGGTGAGGGTAGTGTCGCGGACACCGCCCTCTCTATTCTGCCGCCCCAGACGCGGATATAACTGAGGGCGCGGGTGGTGAGGGTAGTGTCGCGGACACCGCCCTCTCTATTCTGCCGCCCCAGACGCGGATATAACTGAGGGCGCAGGTGGTGAGGGTAGTTTCGGGAACGCCGCTCTCTCTATTCTGCCGCCCTAGACGCGGATATAACTGAGGGCGTGGGTGGTGAGGGTAGTGTCGCGGACACCGCCCTCTCTATTCTGCCACCCCAGACGCGGATATAACTGAGGGCGCGGGTGGTGAGGGTAGTGTCGGGGACGCCACTCTCTCTATTCTGCCGCCCCAGACGCGGATATAACTGAGGGCGCGGGTGGTGAGGGTAGTTTCGGGAACCCCACTCTCTCTATTCTGCTGCCCTAGATGCGGATATAACTGAGTGCGCGGGTGGTGAGGGTAGTGTCGGGGACGCTGCTCTCTCTATTCTGCCGCCCCAGACGCGGATATAACTGAGGGCGCGGGTGGCGAGGGTAGTTTCGGGGACGCCGCCCTCTCTTTTCTGCCGCCCCAGACGCGGATATTACTGAGGGCGCGGGTGGTGAGGGTAGTTTCGGGAACGCCACTCTCTCTATTCTGCTACCCTAGATGTGAATATAACTGAGGGCTCGTGTGGCGAGGGTAGTTTCGGGGAAGCCGCCCTCTCTATTCTGCCGCCCTAAATGCGTATATAACTTAGGGCAAGGGTAGTTTTCAGACGCCGCCTTCTTTATCCTGCCACCCTTGACGCGGATATAACGGAGGGCACAGGTGGCGAGAGAAGTTTTGCGGACGCCGCCCTCTCTATTCTGCCGCCTAGGTCGCCTCTATGGACGCGCCGGCCCTGACTACAAACGTGTGTGAAAAGCGTAACTAAACTACAAACATGATGGACGCACAAGACCAACAGTCAAGTAAGTCAATATTTAGCCCACTGGAAAATATTTAAATCGCATTATCTGTGTTATATTTCATCTGCAACAACAACACTGACCACACGACCTTGAAAGACTCGTGAATGGGAGATTAACCTGCTGCTGCTTCTCCAATAAGTTAGGACAATTCTAAGGGCCCATACATTTAGGAGGGCCCCAGAGTCATTATAAAGGGCCCGCCAATATCCGCAATCTCCCCTAACCCCCATCACCAACCCCCAAAACAAAAACAAATATTGTCTCGAAACAAAAATGATACAAGAACAGAGCATTTCAAACTGACATTAAGCATTCAAAATAGCTATATCAGCCTGGACTCAAACCCACTATGCCAGCATGGTAGTCAGGAACCCTCACCGCTCCACTAAATCACCTGAAGGTTTGATACTACAAAGTGGGGTTTAATTCCTTAATTTGCTCGACTGTTCTTTGCTGAAGCTGTACCAGAGCAATACATAAAAAAATGACCACTTGGTGTCACTGTAGAGTAGGGTTTCGAAACGTTTCGAAGCTTCGCCACATTTGCTTCGACTGTTTCAATGTTTCATGAAGCCTCGCTTTGCCCACTACTCCTGACACTGGCCTCAAGTGGTTTGGAGAAAATTAATATGATTAATGACATGCATGAAAGTGTTAATGAATTTTTTTTACCTCAGTATTTTGAATGGAGTTTCTGCACTCGCCTGCTGATCCTGCTAGCGGTTACGCGGTCTTTTATCTTGTTTTACACATGAACAACTAAATGAATGCTGAAGTCTATTTAACTTAATGTGTTTTAATTACATTATGATGTTGATGCTGTAGAAGGAACCTTATAAAATTTTAAATAGTCACGGAAACCTTTAACCGGAGGTTTACTATTAGCTGAAAAACACAAGCACAAGCGCATTGAAAAACCTTTTTTAAAAAGTGAGAAAACGGACTTTAAACTACAGATTCCCAAAGACATCACCTTTTTAAGCTTCTGGCTTTTGTCTGAGAGAAAAAAAGTAAAGCATTTAATTTTAATATTATTTAAATTAGCATAAACTTAACATGTATTTGTGGTTGCAGAGAAAACTACTTCACTTGTTAACTATTTAATTTGTTAACTCATTAAAAGTCACCGCAGTGTAAACATCTTCTCACTAAAATACCAGCCTGATCTCATGAGAAAACGAATTTGACGTTTTGTCAGTTTATTAGCTAATTAGTACGAGTTCTGTCGTACGAAATTGTACGATTTTAAAAAGGAGGCGTGGCACCTAACCCCACCCCTAAACCCAACCGTCATTGGGTGATGAGCAAATCGTACTAAATTGTACGAATTAGTTCGTACAAATTCATACGAATTAGCCTCTAAATCAAAAAGTTACGAATTGCTGTGAGATAGCATTGAAAATACACATAAGTGAGTACACCGCCCTTACATTTTTGTATTAAATCATATCTTTTCACGTGAAAACACTGAAGAAATACACTTTGCTACAACGTAGTGAGTATACATCCTGTTTAACAGTGTAAATTTGCTGTCCCCTCAAAATAGCAACACACGGCCATTAATGTCAAAACCGCTAACAACAGAAGTGAGTATACCCTTAAGTGAAAATGCCCAAAATGGACCCAATGTGCCAATATTTTGTGTGGCCACCATTATTTTCCAGCCCTGCCTTACCCCTCTTGGGCATTGAGATCATCAGAGCTTCACCGGAAAACCATGAAAAGTAAAAATAAATAAAATATTTCATTACATAAGAAGTAGAGCCCCGGATAAGCGGCAGACAATTCATGAATAGATGGATGAATGTAAATGCATGGGGAGAACATACCTGTTCATTGTTCATGACTTTGTTGTTGTCCTTTCTCATCTTCCACCACAAGAACATCTGAACATGAGTTAAAATAAAACTAATTATTCACCCTCAAGTGGTTATAAACCTTTATGACTCTCTTCTTCTTTTAAACATGTATCATTTTATTGTATATTGGGGGTAAAATATAAATTCTTTGTAAACAGTAAAACAGATATGCATAGACCCACATCTCTAATGAAATGTGGTCAATTTGGGGTGTCTGCCTAATGCCGAGTTCAGACTGCATGATTTTCAAAGTAGTCGTGTCACAGATGTTTTCACACTGCTTGACTATCTGGGCTAGCGTTTCGTCACTGCTTTGTTTACACTGCAAGATGGATCGGCGACAGGGACTTTCACATTGCATGACTTTACTATAGGAAGAATCGCCGACAACTTCGTCCAAACTACGTCTCATAGCCAAAAACACGTCATATATCTTTTGTTATTAACTACATAATGAGAAAGAAGCCTTTAATGGGGGAGAACATGTAAATGTTTGCACACCTGGGTGAAAGCTCCAGCTGAAATCTCCAGGAGCAAGGTTGGTCATCCCTGATTTATACTTTTGCACTTCACTTTATTCTTTCTGTAATTGTTTTAGAAGTCATCTGCTTTTGGATATTTGCTTCTGTTCTTCACTGTGGGACTTCATATGATAGCTCAGGCTGCCTCTGTGATAGAAACTCTTTCCACACTGACCACATACAAACGGCTTCTCTCCAGTGTGAGTCCTCATGTGAGACTTGAGGTAGGTTTTACTGGTATAGTTTTTACCACACCGCGTGCAAGTGTACGTCTGCTCTCCAGTGTGTGCTCTCCTGTGGACTTTAAGGACACTTCTCTTTGCAAAACTCTGTCCACACTCAGAGCAAGCGTAAGGTTTCTTCTCAGTGTGAGTCCTCATGTGAGCATCAAGAGAGCTTTGACTTGTAAGGTTTCTGCCGCACTTTGTGCAAGTGTAGGGTCTCTCTCGGGCGTGAGTCCTCATGTGGTGATCAAGGTTGCCTTTCTGTGTAAAACTCTTCCCGCATTGAGAGCAAATGTAAGGTCTCTCTCCAGTGTGAACTCTCATGTGGACTTCAACTTGTTGTTTGTGATTGAAACTCTTTCCGCACTGTTGGCAGACGAAAGGTTTCTCTCCGGTGTGAATTTTCATGTGTTGTTTAAGGTTTAGGTTTAGAGTAAAACTTTTCCCGCATTGTGGGCAAACGAATGGCTTGTCTTCATTGTGAACTGCCATGTGCTTTTCAAGTCTTTGTTTATGGATGTATCTCACTCCGCACTGAGGGCAGGCATAAGGCTTCTCTCCAGTGTGAAGTCTGATGTGATGTCGAAGGATTATCGATTGCCTGAAACTCTTCCCACACTGATCACACGAGAAAGGCTTCTCTCCGGTGTGAATTCTCATGTGAACAGCAAGGTATTGCTTCCGTCTGAAACTCTTTCCACACTCAGGACACAAGTGAGGCTTCTCTCTGGTGTGAGCACTCATGTGGACTCTAAGGTTGTGTTTTTGAGCAAAACATTTCCCACACTGACTGCAGGTAAAGTTACCAGTAGATTTGGTTTCCTGATCTCTTTTATGAGGTGAAGTCCTTTTTATTTTTGTGGATTTTTCAACGGTCTTTAAATCTTGATCTTTCTCTTCCATTTCATTCAGTTCTTGAGTCTCTTCTTTCAGCATCGTCAGCTCTAAAGAGAAATATAAAACAGGTTAACCCAAAAGCAACACATGTAAAAACCAACATGAAAGAATGCAAGTATTAAAACCAACAACAGCTCTTACAAGTACTAAGATGCTAAAAGAGGCGTTACATATAACCTAAGAGTGTCTTAATACAGGATGGCCTTTGGTCCTCAAAAAGTCCTGAATTCAGAATCATTCATTTATTCATTCATTTTCTTCCCTGCTAAAAAAATCCAGCTTAAACCAGCCTAGGCTGGTTTTAGCTGGTCGACCAGCCTTATTTTAGAGGGGTTTTGGCCACTTCCAGGCTGCTTTCCAGCCATTTCCAGCCTGGTCTTAGCTTGGCTGGATGACCAGCTAAAACCAACTTGATCAGCCTAGCCAAGCTGGGAGTCCAGCCAAAACCAGCTATATCCAGCTTCAACCAGGCTGGTTGAGCTGGTTTTAGCTGGATTTGGCTGGTCATTTTCCAGCCTGCCCAGCTAGGACCAGGCTGGAAATGGGTGGAAACCAGCCTGGAAATGGCCAAAAACCCTCTAAAACCAGGCTGGTCGACCAGCTAAAACCAGCCAAACAGCCTAGGCTGGTTTAAGCTGGATTTTTCAGCAGGGTTTTCGGCTTAGTCCCTCTATTAATCTGGGGTCGCCACAGCGAAATGAACCGTCATCTTATCCAGCACATGTTTCACGCAGAGGATGCCCTTCCAGCCAAATCCCAACATTGGGAAACACAAACAGACTCTTGCATTCACACATACACACTACGGCCAATTTTGCGTACCCAATTCACCTAAAGCCCATGTGTTTGGACTGTGGGGGCACCCTGAGGAAACCCATGGGAACATGGGGAGAACATGCAAACTCCACACAGAAATGCCAAGTGACCCAGCCGGGGCTTGAACAAGCGACCTTCTTGTGAGATGTGAGGCGATCGTGCTACCCACTGCACCACCGTGACACCTGAATTCAGCATCGATAGGTCTTAAATATTTTGGTAATGTTACCACAAAAAAAAAAAAGAAACGTCATTCAGATGAACCCACTGATATCATTGGACAGCACGTTTTTGCTGATATATCTGATCCATATCAATGCATGCATTACACTTACATTACCAAGGCAACAACTGATGCATTATTATTACATTTAACCTCATGAAAACGAATCCAAGCTCCGCTTCCTTGGGCTAAGGTAGTGCACACTTGTGTGTTTTAAACATTTTATTACCTTCTTACATCTACAAGTTACAAAACACATCCAAAGTGCCGACCACTGATCACTGGTTGACGCGGTGTAATTCCAGAGTTCAGACTCTGGTATTACACACAGACACAATAGCCCCTTTCACACAGTGATACCGGTAAATATATGGAAAATTTCCGGAACGACTTTATCGGTAAATTCAAAAAAGAGCTGTTCACAGAGGCGAGGACGTTACGGAATTTTTCCGGAAAAGACCGTTCACACATCCATTCCAAAAAAGCGGTAAATTCTGACATCATTCACCAGAAAAGACCTCTAAGCGGCTGTGCTTGTATTTGTAAACATTTGACTATATCACAAACTCTGTGGATGAATCAGTATTGTGAACAACTTCGATGAAAACATATAGAGAAACACTTTCGCATGTCCAGATGTACATGATATGTGTGTGTGCTGGCGCTCATAGACTGTTTATGGGCACACGCAAAGCTTGAAGGTAAACAAACAACGGCTTATCATAAGCATCTTATCGATAATTAATTACACGGTTGGCATTAAGATGAACATATAAACGTTATCTGACTAATTTCTAGCAGCTAAATGTGCCTGGAAAAATCTTCAAAGGCTTTTATTCTCATAAACCGCGTGGACGTGAATGCCTCTGACTGTTCTGATTGGCTAACGCAGACGTCTCACGTCAGCACGTTCTAGACGTGCACGCGCTCTTTCCGGCAATCTTCCTTTTGCGTTCACACAGCGCAGCATTCCGGCAAATTACCGGTAATCTTACAACTTCTCTTTGCGGAAAATAGCCAGAACGGATTTACCGGTATTTACAAAAAGAGCCTGTTCACACATACACACCTTTCCGGAAAATTGACGGTAATTTTCCGGAAAGGTGTGTATGTGTGAAAGGGGCTGATGGCTGTTTCTCAATATGCATTCTTCAGCGATCTTGCCTCCTCGTGTAACATCATCATCAACTGCCAGAGTTTGGTACCAAGACTCAAGAACGGAGGACGCGTGAAACTTCTTGTCTTTGTGATATCGAGAAGGCTTCGATGCAGACTTGAGCACCAAACTCGCTCTAGAAGTCCCAGAAGCGACTGGAGGTGGGAAGCGCAGCATTTTGTATAGGTTTATTATTAAAGTTCAGAGATAGAACTTATTTACCTCAGGAGTTTCATTAAATTAAGTGGCGAATATATGAAAATCTTAATAAAGGAATAAACACATTAAGGGTGTTTATTTGCTGAAATTCGTATTGAAATCTGTTTAATTTATATTGTGCCAAGTATATTTGTAAGGTCTTTATGCAAAGTATATATTTTGAAAACGGGAAAAACAAAAAAATCGTATGAATTCTGTAATGTTTAAATAATTTTCCATTAAAAACACGTGAAGGTCACGTGACTATCAGGAAGAACGCAGCATCTCATTCTTCACATGACGCGTTCTCTGTTCTCGTGGTCTATCGAGTTCTCTCTTCCGAGGTGACCTGGCAAGACCGCTCTTCACAAGAACGCAAGTCCGTTCTCTGCGTTCCTGGAATTGAGAAACAGTCAATATATCACAGGTCTCACACTCAATTCCCCAACCCTAATCTAGCTAATCAAGGTAATCCAAGACTGCTAGACATCTTGATAGGTTTTATCAGCTTTGTTTGATTAGGATTGGAGCAAAACTGGCAGAGCTGCGGCCCTCCTGGAATTGAGCTTGAGACCTATGCAATATATTATATATTGGGACCTGACTGATCACTTCAAATATAGACCCAAACACGCACAGGTTTCGAGTCCAATGTGAAGACCTCTACTCGCAAGGAGACAGTAAGCTGAAGTCCCAAAAACAGAGCTTACATAACACAGTCGTGCCACTCTGTGGTATGACTCCACTCTTGCACTAACCTGGCTTATTATTAGGATTCCCGTGGCATTAGGCCATCACTCCACTAGCAGTTTTGCGCTACTTCACCGATTTTGATCCCACCCCAAACATTATTTTAAACCCGTATGATGAAATTAGCTACTCAAAATTATCTAGTTTTCCCCACATTAAAAGCTGACAGATGCTAACGTTGTCTTAAATGATGCTCAACTCACACAAATATGTTACAATTTTTTAAAAACTTGAACCTTTAAGGGCAGCCTGAACCAACAGGTGGCGATAATGACACTTACGTGCTGGGGGTTTTGGGGGGTAGGTTGAGCATTATTCTATCAAAAGATGCCTCAAAACGGGGGATCACCAAACTTGTTCCTTGAGGGCCGGTGTTGGTGACGTATGTAATACTGTTTCCGGGTCCAAGCCGCCATTCATTTGAGTGGAGAAATCATTCGTTTATGATCACGTTTTATTCCTATCACATATTAAAGTTAATTGTATATAAAATCATAGTGTTCACAACAATCTCTGGGCTTGCTGCATAATGCTGTGTTCACACCACACGCGGAACGCGCGGATAAATCACGCTATTTGCGCGTAAATAGTCGCATGAACATTTGAGGTTACTCGCTTCATTCGCGTGTCAAATTCACCTCAGAACAGACGCGGATTCGCGTGATGGGCAGGGCTTCTGTCTGCCCCGTGACTCTAGCTTCATAGCTAAAGGGCTAACATGGATTTTATGAAGAAAATAACAGTGTTTATGTGCTTTATGAAGGATGATAAACAGCGTCGATACATTTAGAGCCATGTTTGAGTCCACTACATCCTTTCAGAGGTGCATACAGCTCTTTAAGCTCATAGACTGGCCATCGGATATTAGGCATGGATATATATATATATATATATATATATATATATATATATTGCGAACGTGACTTTCGAAACTATTAAATCGCTTTGTAAACGTTTATTATTACCATTTCATGAGTCTCCCCATTCAGTTGAATAGAGTGCTTGGACCCGGAAGCCACTTCGCGTGACGTCACACTTAACAAGCGGATTGGCTGTGGATAGTGTTCAGCTTTTTTCTGATGACGACTCCCTCAAAATTTCGTTGGCTGAGGTTTGGTAGCTTGAGTGAGTTGCTGGCAAATGAGTTGTTGTCAGATCATGTAGTGTGTGTGACCGCCCTCTAGTGGATCATTTACGTAGTGTCGCGTAGTGTGAACACCACAACGATTTAAAGACACAAGATCAAGTCATGTAGTGCGAATGGCACAGCGATCTGTCGATGTTTAAAGTCCTGTAGTGTGAACTACTACGTTTTGTCGTATATCTAACAAACAGTGAAGATTAAAGATTTTTAAAGAAAACAGATCTTAAACGTGACAATTTTGTAATGGAAAAACAATTCACTAGAAGCGATTAGGGTTTTAGCATCTTTTTCGATAGTTTAAACCATTTTTAACGGTTTCTTAACTTAATTCCCTACTGAAAAAACCAGCTTAAACCAGCCTAGGCTGGTTGGCTGGTTTTAGCTGGCCAACCAGGCTGGTTTTAGAGGGGTTTTGGCCATTTCCAGTCATTTCCAGCCTGGTCTTAGCTAGTCTAGCTGGGAGATGACCAGCTAAAACCAGCTTGACCAGCCTAGCCAGGCTGGGAGCCCAGCCAAAACCAGCTATGTCCAGCTTAAACCAGGCTGGTCAAGCTGGTCATTTTCCAGCCTGACTAGCTAAGACCAGGCTGGAATTGACTGGAAACCAGCCTGGAAATGGCCAAAACCCCTCTAAAACCAGCCTGGTCGGCCAGCTAAAACCAGCCAACCAGCCTAGGCTGGTATAAGCTGAATTTTTCAGCAGGGAATAAAAACGTATCTTTCCATATTTACAATGTGACCTGCTGTAAAAGCAGACATTTATTCAAAATGTGCCCTTACCTGTTTGACCAGGATCTTCCTGTTTGATTGTGAATGTGTCTTCAATCTTCAGGTCTTCACTCTCCTCTTTAATAAACGCCATCTTTATAACAGTGTGGAGATCAGTCACTTCAGCAGGAGTTTTCCTCTGTGTTTGGACACTTTGTCCTGTTTAAAATGAGAACAACGAACAGAAATAAAAGAAATACACACTCAATCTGCTCTCTAGTTCACTACTCAGTGCACTGCTGAGGGAGTCAGACTGAGGGAATGACCTTAAATCACCCGAGTAGAGTAAATAAACACTCACAACCAGCTCTACAAATAAATAAACATATAAATATGGTAAGTAAACGATTGTCAATCCACATGTTTGTTGATTTCGTTTCATTTACACCGTTATAAACATCAAGTGACGTCAGCGCGCGGTGATTCGAGCGACTCAAAAGTGAATCATTTGGACAAACATTTGATTCAATTGACTCGTCAGTGACTGAAGTCGTGTTTACTAACAGATTTACGATACAGGGATAGAAATGAGACGCGCTTTCTGCCACTCACGTGCACTTTATGCTCAAATAAGTGAACTTATTTTTTAAGATTTACAAAATGTATGTTAGATAAAGCATTGCATGTTGCGTTTTGCTTACTTTAGTATCGCTTGTAAAAAGAAAGACTGGATGTCTGTTACCATTTAAAACATTCTAATCTTTAAAGCATAAACCTTTTCAACATATTTAAACCTTAAAATATCTGCACAAACCTTTTGTTAAACACAGGAGTGCGGCGCAGTTTTATGACGTCATGCAACCACGCCAAAATAAAAGTCTTACACACTATGAAGAAATCGATAGAAATGTAGCAGATCAAAACAAACACAGTGAGTCAGCGGAGTAATTTCAGGGGATAAACCACAGATTCGATATATATATATAAATATTGGCTTTTATAAAGGTATTAATTTAGTCGTTTTAATACTATTTAAATTAATGTTAATCAGCTTTTTATGTTCTCAAAATAATGAAAATAGGTAAATGTCACAAACTCAAAATTTAAGATGAATAATTTGTGGTTATTGTAGAGGAGATGAACTTTACTTAATTTAATTTATTACCTGTTTAATTCATTTAAATGTATCGCAGCATTTCTCTCAAATTAAAATGCCAGCAAAATGTGTTATATTAAAAGAACTATGACTATAAATTGATATTATCTGTATGGAAATCATGATTAAAAATTGTTAAAAATAATTTATCAGCAAAAAAAAAGTCCTTTAGTTTGAACTAAACAAAATTTGACTCGAATACAACATCCTATAAAAGAGCAAAAATATAAACATTAAACTGTCAAAATAAACACTATCCTTAAATTTTATGGAAAAATGGCACTATTTTATATTGAACTATAAACAAATTTTCATCAATTAAAACCTTACATGACAACTGTTTTACCACGTTTTGACTCTTCATTTGTAAAATTTAAGAGTGAATTTATATTCAATTTTAAACAACTCCACAACCATATCAGTCACAGTGGCACAGGAGTACAGAAATGTTCAGCCAATGTTAAAGTTAAAATCTCCTCAATCTGCAGTGAAATGATTTCTTCTTTTTTGTAAAACACATCTTTTTTTGTGTGTCAAACACACCTGAACACGGTAATCCGTGGCTGCGTCCGATATCATCTACTACTCACCAGGTACTGTATTTGAATTTAAACATACTACTCGGTCTTTAGAAAAGTACGTTCTATACAGTATGAATGTGAGAAGTATGAATGGAATTCGAACATACTACATCCGCCATTTTGTCATGGTATTGTGACCTACCTGCGTCAGTTGCGTCGCTTCACTCCTATTCATGAATTCTCTCGCGGGGCATCATGGGTTAGCGCAGCGTGCATGGAATGCGCACTTCAGAATCTCGCCGGAAGTAGTAAGTCATCCGGGTACTTCTCGCATACTGATTTTCGAATTCTACGAATTCAGACTTGCATACTGTTTCTAGCGAACTAAATAGTATGGAAGTATGCGATTTCGGACGCAACCAGTGTCTTCACTTGCCTTTTTTTTCACTTTTCGATAAATAAAGCCTTTTGTTTTTGTGGCTGCGTCTGGATCCTTCTGTCTGGCCCCTTGAAGTGGGTGGGACTTGAGCTCCAAATAGACCGCACAAACCTACTGCAGTTTTTTCAATGATTTATTGAACATCTTTTATATGGCATGGGGTCCAACTTATTTTTTTATTAACATCTACATCTTCACAAGGGGGTCACCAAACTTGTTCCTGGAGGGCTGGTGTCTTGCAGATTTTAGCTCCAACTCTAATCAAACACACCTGAACAAGCTAATCAAGGTCTTACTAGGTATACTTGAAACATCCAGGCAGGTGTGTTGAGGCAAGTTGGAGCTAAACCCTGCAGGGACACCAGCCCTCGAGGATCGAGATTGGTGACCCCTGATCTACACCTACCCCAACCTCAGAGTAACCTGTGTTTTATTACCATCTATGTAACAATCCTACTTACCCTCGCTAATTAAGTACAGCAGAGACTCTCCAATGCCCCTGCTGATTCCACCCAACTTCTTTCCTCGGTAAACCATATCCTCAGTTCCCTCCACCAGCTTGTGTGGGATGTGGAAGGCTTCTGCTGCATTACCATTCCAGTCTCCAACCTAGTTCCTATAGCCCTGGAGGGCATCTCTGAAATTGCCTTCGAAAGCAGCTATGATTTGGCCCATGAGACAGTTCCAGTGGCCCCAGAGGACATCTCAGATTTAGCCCCTGAGCACAGTCCTGTATCGACTCTAGGTCCAGAGTGAAGGCCAGCGATGATTTCAGACCAAGAGCACACACCAGTGATGGTTCCAGCCCCAAAGTAGAGTATTTACAGTCCTTATCTTTGCATTACGTGTGCACAAATGTTTTCTGGTAGCTTCATGATATTCTGATTGAAGCACTGAAGACAGATGAACTGTGTAACGTGTAGTCCGGAAGTGAAATTCCATTGTTACCCCTAAAAGGGTCAGGGTTCGTTCTACGCGAGTCTGCCGGTGAAAGTCACTTGGTGACATCTTATCTACCAAGATGCTGACGAGAACTAGAGCTGTCCCATATTCAAATAGATTGCAATGACAAAAACCCTCCATCCTGGGACACACACACTCACCCAAAGACACACACTATTGAAATGGACTCAAAATGCATGTAAAGGTACAGGTCTGTAACCTGTGTGTTCTCTTCCTTAATTCTCTCCTAATTCTTACACTTTTCAAGACATCAGACAAACCAAGAATGCATGAATGATGTGTAATGTATTTCTAAAAGTGTCATGTTTGGTGTCGTTCTTGTCCGTACTTAATTCTACAGCTCATGATCTAAGACAGGGATCACCAAACTCGTTCCTGGAGGTCCGGTGTCCTGCAGATTTTAGCTCCAAGGTCAATCAAGGTCTTACCAGGTATACTTGGAACACCCAGGCAGGTGTGCTGAGGCAAGTTGGAGCTAAACCCTGCAGGGCACCGGACCTCCAGGAACGAGATTGGTGACCCCTGATCTAAGACATAGGATGATAACTTGTATCCTTGGTGTAGTTTCAAACCATGAGTTAAAGTTTTATCTGTCTGTCTGTCTTGGGACAGTACAGACCAGCAAGGAGGAACAAAGAAAGTTTCCCGTGCAACTTTTCCTCTCACGCCATTGGCCATACTTAAGGGTGAAGAGGCTGTACGAGTGCTGTTATTTGCAGAATATGGCACGGCTATCTGCCAATCAGATTTAAGATCTAGACAGAACTGTTGAATAACTATAAATATGTCCTACTTTTATAGTAGTATTCTACTATGTTCTTCTTAGTATTATAAACATTCTGCATCGCTATTTATTTATTTTCTGCACCATAAATATTTAAACTACGCCTATAAGAGCACACTAATGGCTTAATTTATAATGAGCCATAAAGCTTATCTTGTCTTTGTCGGGTTTGGCAGATTTTGCTGATAAACTTTTTGAAATTCGGCAATACATCAAACTCCACCAAAACTAGACAACTATACAAGTATTTTACACGCAGTTTTTTCTCTCTCTGGTTCGTGCAGCGTGAATGTCTCTCTCATCAATCGGTTGGAGTCATAGACTGTAAGGTGCTTTCACACCTACACTTTTGTTTCGGAACGTGTCTCGTTTGCCCAGTTAGCGCGGTTCGTTTGGCATATGTGAACAGGGCAATCGCGCTCTTTTCCGCGCCAAAGTAATCGCGCCGAGATCGCTTGAATGAGGTGGTCTCGGCTCGATTGAAACGAACCCTGGAGCGGTTCGATTGCAGTGAGAAAGCGATCCGATCCAAGCACGGTTATATCACAGTGTTTTATGGATATGTAATAGGCTTACGGCTATAAGAAGAGAGAATTATGAGTATGGCAGGAAGTTTCGCGAGTCTCCGGATGCCCGCAAACGAGTGATGATCTCCCGGTAATCTCGCGTCTCCCTCCCGGTCCTCAAATAGGCATCGTCGCGCACCTTTCTCACCCCTCCCCACTGCATCTCTCCTAAGACACGTCGCGCGCGCACACCCTGTCAATCACCACCAAATCACCACCTCTCCTGACAGGTTAGCGGGATGCTGCAAAATAAACCCTGACACTCTGACCAATGTAAGGAGAGTTTACTCGCACATGACTTGTTTTAGCTCTTTTGGTCCGATTAGAAACTTTGCAGTGTGAAAGCGAACCGCTCTAAGAGCAAAGAGCAACAATGTAACAATTGTAATCTCGGTTTCGGAACAACTGAATCGATTTACAGGTGTGAAAGCACCCTAAAGCAGTGGTCCTCAACCCCCGAGCCACAGACCGGTACCGGTCTATGGATCAACTGGTACCAGGCCGCACAAAAAATGAGTAACTATTTCCATTATCCAAGTCTGAACGATCTTTTATTTTGAAAAATGACTGTATTCTGTGGGGCGAGGCAGTGGCGCAGTAGGTAGTGCTGTTGCCTCACAGCAAGAAGATCGCTGGGTCGCGGCTCAGTTGGCGTTTCTATGTGGAGTTTGCATGTTCTCCCTGCCTTCACGTGGGTTTCCTCCGGGTGCTCCGGTTTCCCCCACAGTCCAAAGACATGCTGTACAGGTGAATTGGGTAGGCTAAATTGTCCGTAGTGTATGAGTGTGTGTGTGTGTGTGAATGAGAGTGTGGATGTTTCCCAGAGATGGGTTGCGGCTGGAAGGGCATCCGCTGCGTAAAAAACATGCTGGATAAGTTGGCGGTTCATTCCGCTGTGGCGACCCCGGATTAATAAAGGAACTAAGCCGACAAGAAAATGAATGAATGAACTGTATTCTGTCTGTTACATCTTGAGCACACAGTCTAACCCACAGCTAGCAAACTACGTAGAAAAAAAAAAACAGACATCTGTGGAAAGTTTCTTTTCGAAGGGGAGAAGGTCAAGTGAAGGACCCATGAACTGCCAAGGAATGGATCAAGAAACCCATTTGTCAACAAATCAGGTGGATCCACCATAGCTGTGCAAGAAGAACATCAACTGCTAGAGATCGTAAAATGACGGCGGCTGTTTACATATCTCGTCTTTTCCACAAGTTTGTTTTTCCAATGGCGGCTTGCATATCTTGCACCTGGACCCAGTTAAAAACAACTCTAGTTTTCAGAATGCCGCTAGCGACAAGAACTGACCAATCAGCTTTATACTTTGTATGGAATATGCACATTTCGGTAGACTAATCACTAATCTCTGCAGTGTTTTTTATTTACTTCAGAAATAAAACTTGTATCAGAATT